TCACATCCAGAATTAATTACTGCAATAGCATCCTCTACGGTTCACCATCCAAAACTCTCAACAGACTACAGTATATTCAGAATTCCGCTGCCCGGCTCCTTACTCAAACCCGCTCACGTGAACACATCACCCCTGTCCTCCAAAAGCTTCACTGGCTCCCCGTCCCTCAGCGCATCCACTTCAAAATCCTTCTCATCACATTCAAAGCACTCCACAACCTGGCCCCTTCTTACCTCACAGACCTGCTCCATCACCACACTCCATCTCGCTCCCTATGCTCATCCAGCTCGAACCTCCTGTCCCTGCCCTATAGGACCAAGCTCCGAACCTGGGGGGACAGAGCCTTCTCCACTCACTGCCCAAATCCCTCCACGACTGCTCTGATCTCCCTACTTTTAAGAAAGAACTCAAAACTCACCTGTTTAAAATTGCTTTTAATGTTTGATTTTATGTTATAAATTGTGTGCTATTTTATTCTATTGTGTTGTGAAGCGTCTTTGAGTGTCTTGAAAAGCGCTTTATAAATAAAATTTATTATTATTATTATTATTATATAGCCCACTTTCTTCTTTCAATGGGCGGCACTGTGTAAAGGAGAACACTGATATGCTACACTTCTCTTTATCAGAAACATCAATAATTTTATTTCCAAACTCTGTTAAACTTATAGTAATATAACCAAATAAGTTAAACTGTTTGACTGGGGTGTTATAAATGTATGGTTATTTAAATTATTGCAAAATATTTACTGTGTTAAAATATTAATGTTGTTTTCTTGCTTTAAAACGTTTCTAAGGTGCACATAGTGAAGTGAGCAGGTTGTTTGCCTCATATGCACGTTCACCAGTGGGGTTACAGAAGAGATCATGCAGTTCAGCTCTGCCAGCAAAGAAATCGAAGACCATAACATATACCCACAGGTTTTTTTGCTTGTCTAAAAGAAGAGACTGTGAGATTCCAAACCCATCTGAGAAGTTGAAGCTGGAGAGAGCTGACCTGGGGGAAAAAAAAATAATTATCCCAGGTACCTTATTGTAACATTGCGAAATAAAATGGTTTCATCATATACAATGTCAATGCAGAATTAAAATTCACCAACTTTTAAATTATGCTTATTTTTAGAAGACAGTAATGCATGTTACTTTTAGTTTCTAACTACAATGCATGCTGTACACATTTTGTTTGCCTTTCAGATAAATATTGCCAGCCACAGGAGTTTACAGATTACCTCTGTAAACAGTTTCCGAAGCTGAAAGATGCTGGAGGCTATGAACTTCTTAAGCCTCGAGGTGCTACCCGCTCAAAGTCATTGGAGATAATCCCTTGTCCTGATGATGGATACTTGGCAGAGTATTTGAGCAACAGTACACTTGGCATCGGAGGTGGCATGATTTACATCAGACCTCTTCAGAAAGATCTAAGCTTGGAGATAGATAAACTGCATAGATGAAGCATGAACAATGTATGTTAAGATTTGCCAAGTCTAACTTCTTTTCTTATACATTGAAAAGTTTTCAGAGGGAAAAACAGGACAAGGGCCACAAATAGCTTGTTTGTACTGCCAAGAAAAAAATTCTGTTGTTGAAATGCAGAAACATGTCGACCAATGTGAAATATAAGTAATATGTGTAAAAATTTCTAACTAAACAATGGAATGTTAAAAGATATTAAAAGTGTAAAAAAAATGGTTTAAATGGACGAGTTGTACTATACCTTGGACTACATTTATTGTCACTGAATGTCTTAAAAGATGACTTAAAACACACCTTTTCCAGAAATACCTGAATTAACACTTCTGGCATTATACTCAGTTTTTTTCCTTAAAAAAAAAAAAAGCACTTTCCAACAGAGTATTAGATCGATGGTATTCATAGCCTGGGTTTTATTGAGCTAGTATCGGGAAATTCATTGTAGAGTCTTAAAGCACTTATGTAAGTCGCTCTGGCTAAGGGCGTCTGCCAAATGCTGTAAATGTAAATGTAATTTTCATTTTTTATGTGTTTTTTTAATTTTTAAAAAGCAGGTTAGAAAGAGAGGAACACCAAAATGTTACAGAGGGCTCCAGGCAGGAATCAAGTAGTACTGGTAACACACAGGATATTAAAAGCGACATCAGCAATGAAATTTCCCATAATAGCAGCAGTGAGGAATTTCCCAGAAGCAGCAGCAGACAGGAAATCTCCAGAAGCAGCAGAGAGGATTTTGCTAGAAACAGCAGTGAGGAATTTCCCAGAAGCAGCAGATGGGAAATCTCCAGAAGCAGCAGTAGACAGGAAATTGATCAAAGTAGAGAAGGAAGGGACAGTGAAAATGAAGGTGATTTAGGTGTTGTTTCATGCAATCTGAACAACAATAAGCTTTCTTTTTCAGCATAACTAGAAAAAAAATCCCAAAATATGTCCATGTCCTGTGAATAGCGACAATTTGTGTTACTTTTGTATTTCTGTCTTCTCAGAGTAGAAAGTTGAGCCAAACTTGTTTCGGGCTGCACTTCTATACAGAAGGGTGCTTTTGGAAAAGGCTGAAATTCTTTCCGAGTTAACTGCAAGCCTGAACCTGTGCAGCAGTACCCAGGAAAGAGAAAGAGAAATATTAACATTCTATAAATCACAACCTGGCAACTGGGCTCGTCCATTCTCCGTTGTACTCAAGGGTATAATTAATAATTTTAGTTAAACATTTCATACATGTAGTCAGATTGGCACATCACTTTGTTTTCATTGCATGTATATTGATATCTTTTCCTCAGGTGATTCAGCTATAGGAGATGGCTTGAAACGCTACTTTCTATCTCAGGTTATTTCTCGTGTGCAGTTTGGGTTTGCCCTAGATTTTGGTAAGTAATGTAATATTTTAAAACATTATGTTATAATGAAAGGGATGGTTTAGCAAATATGCACATTCTTTCAGTACTTGCTGTCCTTCATTTTGATTGAACTTATGTGACTTTGTTGTAACAAAAGAAAACTGATGTTTTTGTGTGAAAAATCTATGTAGTCATATTATATGGCAAAACTTGTAAAAATGTTCTTTTTTCTAACTTCAGACAACTTTGGCAAAACTCTATTTTTCACTGGTCAAGAAGACCATCTGGTGCCATCAACCTCCCGAACTCTGCTGGATAGTGACTTGTTCCGCATTGTTGGACGCATGATTGGCCATTCATTTATTAATGGTGGTCCCTCATTGACTGGACTTAGCCCTGCTATGTTTGGAATAATAACTGGACAAATGAATGAGACAGTCATGATTGAACTTGAAGATTGCCCTGACACAGATGTCATTGAAATTGTCCATCTGGTATGTACAACCATAAACCTACCTCCGACCATTGTTTTGTGTAAGCAAAAATGATGCTGAAATGAGAATAACTTTTTTTTTTTTTTAACTACAGCTTCAAAAACCAAATACACTTGCTGATGATGAGTGTGTGATAGTAAATGACCTGGCTGTCAGTTGGGATCTGCCTCATGTCACTGCAGAAAACAGACTGTGGCTAGCCCAAAGCATTCTTCACCATGCTGTAAGTTTTAAAACATCTTGTTATTTGAAACCCTTTTTGTACTTATTCATGAAAAATTGCAAAAATTAATTTCCTTAGGTCATCGGCCAGCAAGAGAAACAGATGCAACAGTTGAAGAAAGGACTGAAGGAGACTGGAGTTTTGCGCATGGTAAAGGAACGTCCTTCTCTCATTGAAATCCTATTCCCACGATCATCTTCCCTGACAATTGATGCACAGGTAATGTCCCACAATTTGCATTGACATTTTGAATTAGATTTCATTGATTTTGAAATAGATATAGATATAATTACACATCCTTCTATTTAATGGCTATGCATATTCTGAAGTTACTCCTATTAATAACGCATGGTTTATAAACTGGGGGTCAAACAAATGCATCCTTGATAAGAAAAAAACTGTATGTATAGACGTAAATCATTAGAAAGGATTGTCCAAAAAAACTTTTTTCTTTATTCACACTCATGCCATTCCAGATGTGTATGCCTTTTTTTCTCAAAAAAGATGAATATTTTTAAAGAATAGCTCAGTTCTGTAGGTCCTCACATTGCAAGTGAATTGAACCAACATAAAAATGTTTTCATACATTTACTTCCTTTCTGTCAAAAGGGGGTTAAATATGTGAAAAAAGGACTTAAATGTTGATCTGTTTCTTAACCACACTTTTCATATGACTTTTCAAGACATTAATTTAGGGCTGTCAATCATTAATCCCAATTAATTGCATACAAAATAAAAGTTTGTGTTTGTGTTATATATGTCTGTGTGTTGTGCATAATTATTATGTATAAGTAAATACACACACACATACATGTATAGAAATATTTGCATGTATGTATATTGTCACGCCTACAGGGGCGGGGCCGAGCAGGAACAGCTCGTTAGCTGTCGGGTTACCACCTATATAAACCAATCACCCCAAACCATCAGTGCGAA